AACACTAAGACATGACTCAATGGACATAAAGAATGTAATGCACACTCCAATACAACACACACACAATGCACAAATGGACTAACACAGATACAAAGAACAGTTCTCCAAAATAGATTTGTGACTCAGTAGTCACACGGGATGTACACACACATACACATACACACACACAGAACCCTGACACATAGAACACACATCTCTGGCACTTTTCAGTATTCTAACGCACATCCCAAACATCTAAGGCAAAGGAGTGAGCTGTGAGCATGATGTCCTTCTCTGTGGCTAGGAATAAGTGCTCATCCATGAGATCCATGAGCTCGCAGAAGAACGGGCTTAGGAGACAGAGGCTGAGATTTATCCCTACCAGGGCAGGTGTCAAGCAGGTTTTTGACTCAGTCTGCTTCCTTTCTTTACCTCCTATCCTGCTGGGGTGGAGGGATAGAAGAGGGGAAGGAAGATTGAGGTAAGCTACAGGCACCTCCAAGCCATACCTGAATTACAGAATGAGGGGTGCTATTATCAGACTAAGCAATGTGTCTATCCCTGCATCTTTCTGTGCTTGGGAACTACATGGGAGAGGGAATCCTTCTCCTACCCTCGCTTCTGTCTACCTAACATCTCAAGGCCCAGGCCTTAGGTTCAGGACACAGAGGTCTAGAGCTCAGGGAGACAGTCTGATGTAAATGGAGGTAGTCTGATGTAGTAGTGGTGTCAAAGTCAGAGAAAAACAGTTCCCTGCTAGCAGCATATTGACTTAGAAAACAACAAATTAACACACATCTATGTTGTATTGTATTTTTATTTATTTTGTTAAACATTTCCCAATTACAATTTTAATCTGGTTCACTGGGCTGGGAGTGCTGCTTGTGGCCCCCCAGGCAGTAAGTTTGACACCCCTAGTGGAGTGAATGAGGCACTAGACTTAAGAGTCAGGAAGACCTGGGTTCAAAACCTTAGGCACCTAGTTAGTAACTATGTGATCTTGGGCAAGTCACTTAACCTCAAAGTGTCTATTTCCTCATGGGTAAAATGAGGGGGTTGTACATGATGGCCTCTGAGGTCTCTTCCCCCTTTAAGGTCTGATCCTATTGCCTGGAGCTGGGGGCTTAGAGGTTAGGGCCTTACGATCTTAGGATTCCAGGGGTTTAGGGCATCTAGTGTTGTGAGGTTCAGTGCTCTGAGGGCTCAGGATCTGGGGGAAGTACAGAGAAGAGGAGCATATAATTATTAACCACCAGAGGGGGAAGGAATGTGTCTTCTCTTGCCTCCTACCCTCTAACCTCTCCTTCCCCCTCCCTGCCCCCGCCCCTCCCTTCCAAGAGAGAGATAGAGTACTTCTCTTCACTGCTAGGCTTCCTAGAAGGGGAGTAAAAGGAAAAGTCTAGAAAACACTGAGACATCTTGAATAAGGAAGTGAGTGGTTGCCTGGACTGACTGCCCGGTTTTATTCCCCATCATTCAAGGAGCAGTTGCTGTGACAACCAACACTCATGCACACCCAACTCTGATGTGTACATGTGTGTGTGTGTGTGTGTGTGTGTGTGTGTGTGTGTGTGTTTTGTGTTCCTCTCAGATAGGTAAAGCATAAAAAGCCTGGGGATGGGGAGAGGGAGCATCCCCAGCTCCCGCCTGTAACTGGACCCTTTAGAGGTTATATAGTCCAGTCTTTCTCATTTCAAAGATGAGGAAACTGAAGCCCAGAGACACCAAATGATTTGCCCAAGTCCATACAGTGTCATAAGAGGTAGAGGCAGGCATTTGAAACCACATCTAAGACACTTTCCCCCAGCACCAAGCTGCTGCCCTGTAACTCACACTTAATGAGTGGTTGTTGAATTGAACAATCCGTTGCCTCCTACCTCTATGAGGGCAGACCAACTTTGACTGATTGTCCAAAGGAACAATAAAAATCAGACCAATTCAGAAACCTTGTTTCAGCAGATGCATATGAGGCACGTTGCCCTTTGTACACTAAGATGACCCACATGGATCTACCATGGTCTTCCCACTTTGCTGAACTCTTATTTCCCCAGTGGGGATGGGCACATTCACTCAGTCACTCCAGTAACTATTAGAAAGATGACCAACTTGACTTAGGCCTAGCCTTCCCTGAGGGTAGGACCAGAGCTCAGTCTAGGGGCAGTCTTTGGCTAGGATTAGGGCTCAGTCTGCATTGGGTTCAATGGCCAGTCTTTGGCTGGGACCAAGGGCTCAGTCAATGTCAGTATGCTTCCACTGTGTGAATCGTTAAGATGGGCCCATCTCAAAAAGTGCAACTCCCTAGCTCCATAGTACTTTACACTTCATCAAGTACTTTCTCTAAAATAGCCTCTTTAGGTAAATAGTCCAAATATTATTATCTTAGGCAGCTAGATGGTCCAGTACGTAGAGTGTTGTACTTGGAGTAAGGGGGACCTGAGTTCAAATTCTATCATTGACACTTACTAGTTGTGTGACCCTGGGCAAGTCACTTATCCTCTTTTTGCCTCAGTTCTCTCATCTGTAAAATTGGGATTATAATATAACCTACCTCCCAGGGTTGTTGTAAGGATCAAATGAGATAACATTTGTAAAGTACTTTAAAACACTAATATTATTGTTGTTGTTATTATCCTCATTTTATAGATGAGAAAACTGAGGTTTAGAGAGGGCAGGTGACTTGTCCAAATAACAGAATCACAGAATATTAGAGTTGTAAAGGACCTTAGAGGCCACATAATCCAACCTATGCCTGAATAAAAAGCTTCCCTACAACATACTTGACAATAGGCTATCTTATCTTTGCTCACAAAGATCCAGTGATGGAGAACTCACTACCTCTTGAGGAACATCACTCTTTTTTTGAGACAGCTCTAATAGTTAAACTTTTTTACCCCAAGCCTAAATATACTTTTGTAACTTACACCCATTGTTTGTATTATATAGAGTTGTGCACTCTGGGGCCAAAGAAAAAGAGTTTAATCCCATTCCACCTAACAGTCCTTCAGTCACTTACAGATAATTATCATGTCTTCCCAACATTCCCAGTTTGTTGAAATGGATCTCCCATGATGTGATCTCAAGGCCCTTCACTAATCTAATTGTGCTCCCCTGGACACTTCAGCTTGTTGATGTTTTTTCTTAAAGTGTGGTGCTCAGGTCACCAAGCTCCTAAGTGAGAGGATGAGGACTCAGACCCAAATCTTTTGACTGCTAATTGGTCAATCAACAAAGCATTTAAGTGCTTTCTATGTGCCTTCTACTTTCTTTTTTTGGGGGGGGGTGTTGGTTAGGCAATGGGGTTAAATGACTTGCCCAGGGTCACATAGCTAGTAAGTGTTATGTGTCTGAGGCTGGATTTGAACTCAGATCCTCCTGAATCCAGGGCCAGTGATCTATCCACTGCACCACCTACCTGCCCCTTGCCTTCTACTTTCTTAATGCTGGGGACAGAAAAGCAAATGTATCGTACCTGCCCTTTTCAGGAGCTCACATTCTAATGGGGTAGACAACCTGTAAATATGTAAGTCCATATGTGGTATGCAGAGAGTAAATAGGAGGTAATCTGAGAGCATTAGTAGCTGAGGTAATGGGGAAAGACCACTCAGAGGGACTGATTTGAGCTGAGTCTTGAAGGAATGTAGAGAAGTCAGAAGGTAGGAATGAGGAGGGAGAGAGCATTCCAGGTGCTTTCCATGATACCAGATCCCTCTCCAGGGCAATGCTCTGTTTCCATGGTAGATTCTAAGGCCCCATTCTTGGTACCCAAGTGGACTGTGTCCTATTAGCTCTGCTATGACCATGAATGGATCCCAGAGGCCTGACCATGACACATGGCATTATAGTCATACTAATTAACAGCCCCTCCTCCCCACTTGCAACATCTGGAAGTCAGAAGGAAATTAGAGTACAGGGACACAAGAAGCTGGCTTCTGAGTTGAGAGGGAGGCAGTAGAAAAACATATAGGGCTTGGATAATGACTAATAATCCCAGATCACTGGTCCCTGTATAATCAGTACTGACTATATGGAAGTTGAGGTGCTCTTTGAGAAGGGAGTAAAGATAGTTGTTTAAAGCTTCTCCTTCTTCACATTCACCTATTTCTTCAAGAACATAGATTGTGGGCTCCCCCACCCATACTTCTACGTAGTAGTCCATCCATCCCTATCCTGATGATGGGGTTCTCAGTAAAGGAGCAAGAATCTCCAGTTGTGCTCCTAATGGGCTGAGTCCTTTTGTCCCTAGTCCCTCCATTCCTCAGCCCTCCATCCCCTGATCTTCAGTCCCTGTTCCCTCCACCCCTAGTTTTTCCTGTCTAGTCCCTTTATGCATGATCTGTCTATCCCAGGTCCTATATCCCCAGCAACTCTGCTTCATAACTTCTAGCCCTGGTCCCTCCATTCCAGGTTCTGTATTCCCAGATCTTCTATCTCTGGTGTCTCCATTTGAGGTCCCATATCCCTGGCCCCTCCATCTCTGGTCCTCTCATTGTTTATCCTAGATCTGTGTTTGGGGGCCAAGAATGCTAAATGCCTGTTCCAAGGTTTGCTGAGAAATTCTTGGATGTTTCATGAGAGCCTCCTGTGTAGATTCATGAGATTTTGAACTGGGCGGGAGCTGAGAGATCATTTAGTTCAGCCCCTTTATTTTACAGATAAAGAAGTGGAGAAGGGAAGGCAGTAGGTGCCCAAGTCCACATTGGTGGTAAGTAGATAGCAGAACTGGGGTTCAAACCCACTTTCTTGGGCTTCAAATTCTAAGCTATTGCTCTTTGGACTATGCCAGGCAATCAGCTCCTCCCTCCCTTTTACTTCCAACCTACCATAGACCCATCAGCTCTTTCTCTACTTCCTGAAAACACTCCATCAGGAGCTGAGCACTATTTCCCAAGCATAGAAGACCTGCCATTGGAAGATGAGCTGAGGAACTCCCTTACCATTACTCTTCTCCTCTTACTACCTTCCTTCTTTATCCCTTAATTTGATATTCCCTGGGGAGGTCACATAGAGCTGTAGCCTCTTACCAGCACAGTGGTGACAATGAGGGATCTGTTGGTCAAGGAGTCAGTGACGTTGGGACCCCGGCCTTTGGCAATCTCTGTGATGTTGAGGCCATCAGCAGGACACCACACACCCACCTGGGGAGAAGACAGAAGCACAGAAAGAAACATGAGGGTGTTGGAGTTCTAAGGGACAATAAACAAAGAGGCTAGACACCTCAAAGAAGCTGAATTCAAGCACCAGATCCACTGCTAGCCAGGTGTGTGACCTTGGGAAAGTCTGTTCCCCTCTTTGAGCTGCAGTTTTCCCAGATACACAACAAGAAAGTCCAACTAGAAAATTCCAAAGGTCTCATCCAACCCTAACATTCTAGGATTTTGTGAAGTCTCAGAAAAAAACACATGGAATTTAGATCAATAAAACCTGCATTCTCTGACTCTTTCCCATCAGCCTGCAATTTCTAGTTCCCCATGGAGATGGGCAGAATCCCAGAGTTGGAAGGGACTTCAGAGGGGCAGCTAGTTCAACCATCACTTTATGGAAGACGAAGTTGAGTTCCAAAGGAGTCAAGTGACTTGTCCAAGGTCACATAGGTGGAAGACCCAAGGTTGAATCTCAGGTCTTCTTACTCCACAGAACCACAGGCTTTCAGAACTGGAGAGAACCTCAGAAAGCACTGAGTCAAAGTCCTATTTAAACAACAATCATCTCTTTTACATCCTCCACAGGTGGCCATCAACTTTTGATTTTTAGTTATTTAAACTGAGTAGTTCTTCCCAAATGAGATCATAGATTTAGAGTTGAAAGGGACCTCAAAGGCTATCTAATATAACTTCTTCATTTTACAGATGAGGAAACTGAGGACCAGGAGGTGAAGTGACTTGGACTTAGTCAAGGTCATATAAGTAGTCAGCATCAGAGGCAAGAGCTGAACCTAGATTCTCAAATTCCAGGACAAGCACTATTTCTTTTGGGTATTGGCTTCTGCCATAGAATGCAACCTTGGGGCCATCCTGGTGGCACAATAGATAAAGCTTGAGCCTTGACTTCAGGACGACCTGAATTCAAATCAAGCCTCAGACACTCACTAGGCTGTGTGACCCTAGGCAAGTCACTTAACCCCAATTGCCTTAAAAAAATGTAATCTTCTTGAGGACAGGGACTACCTTTATTTATTCTTGTATTTGTATTCCCAGGACTTAGCTCAGTGCTTGGCTGAGCTAACAAACATTAATAAATGTTTGTTGCCTGTTGTATGCCTGCCTAAACAGCTCCCTTTCGCAACTGGCACCTGATTAACTAATCAAGCTCTCTGAGCCTTGTTCCTTCATATGGAAAGAAACAATCCCTGTATTATCTGCAATTTTTTGTTTGTTTGTTGTTGTTGTTGTTGGTTTGGTTTTTTTTTTTTGGTGAGGCAGTTGGGGTTAAGTGACTTGCCCAGGGTCACACAGCTAGTAAGTGGCAAGTCTCTGAGGCCGGATTTGAACTCAGGTCTTGACTCCAGAGCCAGTGCTCTATCCACTGAGCCACCTAGCTGCCCCTGTATTATCTGTAATTTAAGAATACTTGCAGTACCTATCAAATGGGGTTGTTGTGAGGCTTAAGTAAGTTTACATTAGTTTTTTAAACTTTTAAGTTCTATGTGAGTGTGAGTGTTATTGTAAACTCATTAGAGACACCATAGTAGAATGGATATTTTGATGAAATATATTTCTGAAATACATCCTGAGAGACAGCTTAGCATGGTAGATAAAGAGCTGCCCTTAGAACTCAGTAAGACCTGAGTTCAAGTTCCTCCTTGGACACATGCTGGCTGTGTGACCCTGGTTAAATCACTTAACCTCTCAGGGTTCTAGGCCTGTGTCTATGTCTATAAGCTGCAGAGAAAATGCTGACCTGTATTGGCAAAGGGAACCTGGTATTGGTAAAGGGATCCAGGAAGATCTTATTTCAAATCCTGCCACCTCTGACACATATGTCTATATGACCCCGGGCAAGTCATTGTATCTCAGTGTTACAGGTATTTTTCTAAAGACAATATGTTACTGATCCAACCATTTTGGAGAGCAATCTGGAATTATGCCAAAGAATCATAAAATTGTGTTCTTTGACCCAGCAACACCACTATTAGGTCTGTTTCCCAAGCTGATTAGGAAAAGGAAAAGAAATTATCCGTTCTAAAATATTTATAACAGCTCTCTTTGTGGTGGCAAAGAACTGGAAGTTGAAGGCAAACCCATCAATTGGGGAATGGCTAAATAAGTTGTGGTATATGATTATGATGGAATACTACTGTGCTATAAGAAATGATGAGCTAGTAGATTTTAGAAAATATGGAAAAACTTGTATGAAACAATGGAGGGTGAAGTGAGCAGAACCACGAGAACATTGTATGTTGTAACAGCAATATTGTTCCAAGAACACCTGTGAATGATTAAGTCCTTTTGAGTATTATAAATACTCAAATCAACTACAAAGGACCTATGAGAGAAGATACTATCTGCCTCCAGAGAAAAAACTGATAAATAGAAGTATGTATAGTACGATTTTACATATATACACATATTTGTGTCTAATAGTAGGCTTCTCTAGGGCAGGATGGGGAGGGAGGGAGAAAAAAATAGTACACAGCAGAGAACAAAATAAAACTTGGAAGGAAGCACAGGAAAGCAGGGCAGCTTTGAAAATGATGTATAGTATTTATTACATAGTTTTTCAAAAAAAACCGAACAGTGTGAAGTGGAAATTCATGGTTTTATACTGAATCCTCTTTTTATGTTGTGCTATGTACATGAAATTTTTTTTGTCTTTTTGTATTTGAAGTTCAAAATGAATAATTTTTTTTTAAAAAAAAGATAGTATGTTGCAGAGTAGTGCAGACTTGCATTAGCAAAGGGTCTTTATCTGGGAGTTCCCTATATATGAAATTACAGATCTAATCCCTTTCCCTATTATTATGAAAAGGAGATTCCACAGTCAAGCAGTTAATGCAGAGGAACCCAGAGATAATCAAAGAGAGGCAATGGCCCCAGATATGGCAAATGAGAGATAATGGCAGGGAGATAATGAGAGCTCAGGTAATGCATTTCATCAGTGGAATTACCTCAGGAGGCCACACACACATATGCCTGGGTAATGGGTTCTTGTCCCAGGGCTTGCCCTGGGAAGGGGAGGGAGGGGGAGCTACTTTTTTTTCCGGAGGAAGAGATCAGAGCAGTAGCATTTCAGAGACCACTGAGGCTGATCCAACCAGCTGGTGATAGGCAAACAGGGGAGAACTCTATCCAAGACTTCTGGCTTGCTAGGGAGTTGAGGGCTATTTTAAATTCAGGCTGGACTGAAATTCCCTCCATTGTTTTCCCATTCACTTCCTCTGATGCCAGGTGTGTGTGTGTGTGTGTGTGTGTGTGTGTGTGTGTGAAGTAGTGAGAGAAGGGAAATGGAGGGAAGGATGAGTGAGAAATGATTTCCCCAGAAGCTCTTGGTGGGCTCAACTATGGAATCACTCAGAACCTTAGAGCTCAAAGGGACCTCAGAGGGCACAGAGTTCAATTTCTATGTAGGCAGAAGCCCACTTGACATTATCAACAAGTGGTCCTCCAACCTCTGAATTTGAATACTTCCAATGATGGTGAACTCACTCTTACTAGCTGAGTAACCCTGGGCAGGTCACTTAAACTTTTCTAAGACTTACAGTTTCTTCAACTATAAAATGAACATAATAATAGTAGTGACCTCACAGTATCAGAGGCTGGGTTTCTGAATGGTCTAGCATCCTTTCCACATGACCAGAGAGAGAAGCTAGGTGGCACAATGGTGCAGCATGTTTAACTTGGAGTCAGAAAGACCTGAGTTCATATCCTTCTTCAGACACTTACTACAAGTGGGCTCTTGGGCAAATCACTTAACTTATTTTTACCTCAGTTTCCTCATCTGTAAGATGAGATAATAACAGCACCTTCTATTGTGAGGATAAAATAAGATAGTACATGAAGGGCTCTTTGCAAATCTTAAAGTTCTGGATAATACTATAAAGAGGCCAATGTCCCTCCTCAATCAAGATGCTCAGAACTTGATGCTCCAAATGTAACTTGACTAGTACAGAGAACAGTGAGACAATCACCTCACTCATTCTTGACACTAGAATTCTATTAAGGCAGCCCTGGATCATATTATCCTTCTATTTCTGCTGCCATAGTATACTCTTGTCTCATATTGAGCTTAGGGTGACCACTTGCCCCCCAAGTCATTTTAGGAATATTCACAAAACCTTGAGTATCCCCCCAAAATGATGCTATGCTCTCCTCTCCCCTGTCCTCCACCCCACTGGAAACAGCCTGATATCCCAAGGCTGCTTGTGCCCTTTCTGTCCTTGGCCAACCTCAGGGGGAAATCATCCTCTTCAAGGAACCCAGGAAACTTAATCAATTAACCAGAGAGGCAGCCTACAAATATCCCATTAAGAGAGCTGTGCAAACCAGATAGCAAAGAGACATGTAATTATGCTCCAGTAATTCTGCCTTAATCCTCCCAACACCCAAGCGGGCAGGATCAGGGCCCATCCGGCTTAACAAACAGTAGGGCAAACACAATACTGGAAGGCTGTGATCCCACACTTGGCCAGCCATTCTGCACCCCCTCCCCCTTGCCCTTGCTGTCTGAGTGATGGAGAATGTGTGTCCTGGAGAGGACCTAGCAGGGATTAGACAAAAGTAGACCGAGTGGCCCATTGCTCACATGTCCTAAGCTGAGATTAAAGCCCAGAGCAGGTGTGGAATTCCAAAGCCTGCAGACAATCCTGATTGCCTCCATAGTCCCATAGCAAGGTTGGGTATATAGTAGATGATTAATAAATGTTGTTCAATGCATTTTTTCATGAATTCATTCATTCAATTAAGTCAATATATGTTATATTCCATTAGAAGCAAGGCTAAGTGTTTGAAATATAAAAATTATACATAATAAAAGTTTCTACCTTCAAAGAACTTAGATTCAAATGAATGTGTAAGGGAGACAGTATTTATACATATGAGGATAATGCAAACTGTGGAGTGATAGAAGCAAATGGGAACTCCAGACAAAGTACTCAAAAAACTGAGAGGGTGAATAACACTTTAATATGGGGAGTTCAGTGAAGTGGCACCTGAGCTGAGCCTGACGGGAAGTGAAATACTCTGGAAGGTGGAGATGAGAAAAAAGTGCATCCCAGGCATGGGAAACCTCCATCCTCCTTATCTCCCTCCCTCCCTCCCTTCCTTCCTTCCTTCCTTCCTTCCTTCCTTCCTTCCTTCCTTCCTTCCTTCCTTCCTTCCTTCCTTCCTGTCTCCCATTCCTCCCTCACTGCCTCCCTTCTTTCCTCCTTCCCCAGCTCTTTCCCTTCCTTAAGGGTAAGGGCAAGCACTGGGCTTTCTCTCTCTTCCAATACCAACCCAAATGTCCCCAAAGGCCACAGCTTAGATAGAGGGATAGTGAAAGGCTAGTCACAAGTATGTTTCAGCATCATACTGTTTCCTGTCCTCAATCTCTAAACTCTAAATCTGGGTTTTATTAGCAGGAAGGAAAACTATAATGCCTCTCACACCTAGGCTGGAGGTTTGCAAACTGCTTGGTGGAGGGGGCAGGGAAGACACTCTGTAAGCAGTTTTAGGCAAAGTCCATCTTCCTCCATCTCCTGGAAAACCCGAAATCCCTTAAATGAAGTGTCAACCAGAAGTAGACGTGGACAGAGTACCCATGGCTCAGAGACAAGAACTGACTAATCCTCCCCAATCCATTCCTGCACTTCAGACAGTTCTCAGCCCATTCTCTGAAATTCACCCACCCAGGTCCAAGACCTTGGCAGTCATGAACTCAGCTACTGACATTCAGGGTTGATTTGTCACAGGTCACATCTGCAACTTACAGCTGTAACTTGAGGGTCACTCTACAGTTAACCCATCAGATAACTATGTATGTAGGTGGGGAGAAAATGAAGAACTATGATGAGAGGCAGTGTAGGATAGGAAAAAGCATGCTGGCCTTGGAAGAAGATAGAATGGGTGCAAATCCCACCCCTGACACTTCCTGGTTCTGTAAGCATGGGCACATCACTCACCTTCAGTTTCATTATCTATAAAAAGGGTTTAATTATAGCTATAGTGCCTACTTTGTTGGGTTGTAAGGTGTTTTGCAAACTTTTGAAGGATATGTGTCTGCTATTATTATGGGAAGAGAATAGGGGAGAATAGGGGTAGGAGGAAAGAAGAAGGCAGGGTAAGGAGAAGAGAAAAAGGGATAAAGAAGAGAAAATGAGAGTAGGGAAGAGAAAAGAAGCAAGTCAAGAGAGGAGTAGAGAGAAAGTTAAGAGGGAAGAGAGCCTAGGTAAATTACTTGAAGGCAGAGACTATATTTTGGGTTTTTTTGAGGATGAGTTGGGTCTTTGAGGTACTGGTGCCTAAATAGAATGCTTGACACAAAGAATATGTTTAATAAATGAATTTTACTTGAATTATAATTGTCCCCCACCTCATCACTAATAGGCTATAAGTGCCTTGAAGACAGGGTTGGTGTTATTTCTGCATCCCCAGATGCGAGTACATTGTCTTGAACTTATGTAGGATCTGTGATTTTCTTGGCATTTCAGGTTTCTGGTAGGGGAGCCCCCTCCACCAATGCAGATGGCAGCCCTTCTATGACTTAATAGATAAGTCCTAGGGAGTTTTCTGAAGATATAGAAGTTAAGTGACCTGCTCATGGTCATACAGGTAATATATGTGAAAGTCAGTATTTGAACGGGGGTTTTTCTGACACCAAGTCCAGCGCTAACTTCTATGCCCTATTGCCTTAATACCTTGAACTCAGTAGCTACTTTTAACATGCTTGTTAATTGAATTAGATTGAATCCAATTGCAGAACACTGTTTTTAAGCATGGTAAAAAGAAAGGGGAGAGAAAGTTGCCTATTTCTCATCAGCACCAAAGGACTCATGGCCTTTGCCTTTACCAAACTTAGTCTTCAATTCCCACATCCAACCTTCCCTCAGGGCTTATGAGTCAAGCAGCCATCAAGACCATGGACAGCTCCTAGAGAATCCACGGGGGTTATTTATTCTCTGTATCCATGTTTGGCCTATCTGGTGAGAATGACATGGTGAGGCATTGGAGTAATCTCCTTGAATAAGGGCCAGGGGAAATCATAGAAAATGTGAGTGCAAAGGATGATTTCAGGAGAGCTATGCTTAGCTAAGTCATCTCACAAAAAGGTCACTCAGTCAAATGTCATCACTCACTTCTTTCAAAGCTTACTCTCTTCAAGAAGTTTTCCATAACTAACTCCATCCAACTTGGTTTACAATCATACTTCAGTCTCCTCAACCCATTGCATGCAGTTAGCACTGTTGTCATTTTTATTTGCACTTAAAGTCCATTCCTATGTGGGTGGATGTATCACATCTGGCCCTTAACCTTGGGGATGATCTCATTAAGGATATTCTACACTGATCAGAACATGTCCCATGATTATGACTTTATTCACCAATTGTGCTTCACAGATTCAGACACTTAGAGAAGATTGAGCCCTCCGATGTTTCCCGTGTAAACCCCTACATGGTGCAGCATCCTTGACAGAAGATCATCTGTTCTTTGCTTGAATAACTCTAGTGATGGGAAGCTTAGTACCTTACAAGGCTGACCAATCCATTGTTAGACACCTCTCATTGTTAGTAAATTTTTTCCTTACAAATTGCCTCTCTTTAATTTTTACCCACTGCTCCTATCTCTTGCTCCTGGGGTCAAACAGAACAAATATAGACTCTCATCCACATGACAGCCCTTCAGATATTTGAGGAAAGCCATCAGGTTAATTCCTTTCCATCCAAACTAACCATTTTGTGTATGTATTTACTTTATATTAATGCTATATGTATTTTAAATGTATTTGTTTCCCCTGTTAGAATGTAAGCCGCTTGCATGTAAGGATTATTTCATTCTTTGTATTTCTATCTCCAGTGCCTAATACACAGTCTATCACACAGCAGGTATTTAGTAAATATATACTGATTAATTGAATAATTTTCACTATGTCTTCTTCAGGCCACACACCCTCATTTTCCTTGAAATGATATTCAAGTGACATAATCTGAGTGTCCCCCTCATCCCAACCCTCTTCCTATGAACATTCTACCTTGTCACTGTTTCTCTTATTTATGAGTAAGAAGTGGCCCATAGTAGTGTGGGAACTGATGGACAAAGGACTTCCTCCTTCCCCATCCTACATAGGATTTAGTGGGAAGTGGTCAATGGCCTTTTCCCAGTCTTCATCCTTATTGACCTCTCTGCAACATTTGACACTCTTGACTATTTCCTCCTCTTAAATATTTTCTCTTCCCTGGGTTTTCATGGCATTATTCTGTCCTAGGTTTCTTCATACCTGTCTGAGTCTTCCTTGTAGGACCAGCATCCATGTCTCATCTATGGGTGTCCACAAAGGCTTGACCTTGAGCCCCCTTCTCCTTCTTCTTTACAACTCTTGGTGATACAAACACTTCAGCTTGACATTTAAATCCCTTCACAATTTTACTCTAATCTACCTTTCCCATTTTGTTATACATTACTTGACTGTTCCTTGAACTCAGGACTTCACTTCCAACCCCCATGCCTTTAACCAAGCTCTCCTCTATGCCTAGAATGCACTCTATCCTTACTTCTGCCACTTAGAATCAAGGTCCAGCTCAGGTAATACCTCCTACAAAGGTCTTTCCTGAGATCCCTGGTTGTTAATGCCTTCTCTCCCTACTCCTCAAATGAACATGTATATCAGTTTTCTGTTTACATTGTGTATCCCACCTCACAGGGCAGCTAGGTGGTACAGTGGATAGAGTGTCAGGCCTGGAGTCAGGAAAACTTATCTTCCTGAGTTCAAATCTGGCCTCAGACACAGACAAGTTGTGTGATCCTGGGCAAGTCACTTCACTCTGTTTGTCTCAATTTCCCTATCTGTAAAATGAACTGGAGAAGGAAATGACAAACAAGTCCAGTATCTTTGCCAATGAAACCCCAAATAGGGTCACAATGAGTTGGACACACTGAAAAATGACTAAACAATAAATCCCACCACACTAGAATGTAAACAAGGAAAGGAGTTTTGAACTTTGTGTTTGTAGGTATAGAACCTAGTACCATGCTTGGGACATAGTAGACATTTGTATTGGATGGATTGGATTGGAAATGCGAGATTTACAGGCTAAGTCCTAGTGTGTGGCCCAGGAGAGTCAAAAAGGAATTTAGACTCAATTTCTCCAAAGTACTTTGTTGAGTGGTAGAAGGACCGACACTCTGTGGAATGCCTCATTGTCTCTATTCAGCTGCAGGCAAGCTGGGGGCCTTTACGCACCTTCTCCAGGCCATCTTCCTTTAGGCTGACGATATCCAAGTCAAAATCAGTCCGTAAGCCACTGGTTTTGTTGAAAACAATCCGTCCAGTTAATCCTTCCCATTGAGCCTGCCGGAGAGAAGAGGGCAGAGCTGCAATTACTTAGCCTCATAAATCATCATTCGGTACAACTGTACAATGCTTCATTTTAATTACTCCTTACACCGAGACTTTTCCCCAAAGACCATGATTAATTAATAATCACCTCCATCATTGCAGGCTGCAGCACAGGCTGGTGATTTCCATAAATTCTATTATACTCTTTAGCCAGACTTACATTTGTACCTTTCTTGTTGAACATCGATCTCAGATTTGCCCAAATGAGCCCCCTGCCTCTGTGCTCAGTGCAAATGTTGCCTGCCTTTCTCAGCTTCCAGAGGAGGGGGAGGGGAAGAAGGACTAGGGGCCAAGCTGAGCAGAGAATGTTTAGCAGGGCAAGGGCTTCCAGGGCCGGGCAGAGAAGGAGGACCATGGGATCGTGGCAGGGGAAGTTCAACCCAGGGATGGAAAGGGATATGGCAGGGGCAGGAAGGCCAGCAAGCACAGCTTATCAGTGCAAACCTGGCCTAGCCCATAAACCCAACTGTGATGAGGATAGGCAGTATAGAGAAGAGAGCAAGTGAATCATGGAGAGAGGCAGATAAAAACATCTGACATTTACACAGAGATTTAAGATTTACAGAGCACTTTATTTACATCATCTCATTTGATCCTCGCCATAGCCCTGTGAGATAGGTAGGCACTATGGGTATTATTATAATCCATTTCTACAAATGAGAAGTGAGACTCAAAGTGACTCCTAAGCGACTTGCCCAGGGTCACACAATTATAAGCATTTCAGATGGGATTTGAACTCAGGTCTCTCCTGACTCCCAAGTCTGATACTCTTTCTACTACACTATGCTGTCTCTTGGTAGAGTCATGGGGTTTAGAAGGGGTTGGGAGGAGGAGACAGAGAGAGACAGAGAAAGAGGCAGAGTCAGAAATAGAGACAGCAAGACAGAAACAGAAGTGGAGACAGAAAGAAAGAGACAGAGATACAGAGAAAGACACAGAGAGATAGAGACAGAAAAAGAGAACAAAAACTAAGACAGACACAAAGGGACATAGAGAAATGGAAACAGATAGAGTCATAGACAGACATAGAGGCAAGGGAGGAGGAGGGAGAGAGACAGAAAGGGAAAGAGGAAAGGAGAGGGAATGGAAGGGAAAAGCAGATAAAAGAAGAGGATAGGAGAGGTAAGGGCAAGACAGGAGGAGAAAGGAGAGATGAGAGTGAGAAAGATGAGAGATGAATGAGAGAAAGACAGAGAGACAAAGAGACACAGACAGGCACATAAAGAGAAGCAGAAATAGATGAGAAAGACAGAGAGAAGAGCTCAGTTCCATTAGACTAGTAAAATGACCAGCCTAAAGCTGTTCATCCTTGAGTGCTCAGGGAAAGACACAGCAACACATAGCCGGGAGCCCAGGCATCAGGGATTGCTATGTCTGTGATGTCTTTGAAATGTTGTAGCCAAATGATTAAGAAGTGGTTCATCTAAGAAGCCTCAGATGAATGCTTGGTTTACGGAGGACCCTTACATGCAAATATACAAAAGATCACTGCCACTCTTGGGCCTCCTAAGCCCTCCATCTCTCACTACTATTGATGTCCATGGAGCTGTCCAAGGTCCTTTTCACGCTACTCCTTCAAACCACCTACAGCCAAACTGAGTACCCGGGGCTCAAGAGACTCAGAAAGTTCTTCTTTCTAAGAGCATGACCAATTTGAGAGCTTCTCTGAAACTTACCCCTATCGGTGTTAGTTCTTCCCAAAGTCACAACTAGTCATCCTGAGCCATAGGGTAAGCACCACAAAAATTCCTGGGGGAAGGTTAGAGGTGGGGAGACCTTTGGAAAAAGATATGTCCATTACTGCTGCTGGGGAAATCCTGGCCAGGAGAGGGAACAAGAGAGAATTGGGCTGAGGAAGAATGCATCTGGGGTACAATCATGTCACTTGGGGGAAGCAGAACCATCTGGTAGCTTTCTATTTTAACTAATTATTCTAGCTAACTAGGTGCTAAGTATCTAGCTGCAAGACAGAGTGCAAATGTAGTCAGCACCTTCATATTTGGTGCTCTGAGGCTTAGTCCTAGTCATTCTAGACTAATTTAAATTTTTGTTCTACTATCTGAGACCAAATGACCAAGTGCATTTTCTCTAAAGAGATGAGAACACAGGGATCATGTCTTTCAAGTTGCCTTCTTCATTCTGTCCCACTTTCTTGGGGTTCTTCCAGGAAGCAAGAGAAATCATTGCAGTTTAGTGGGAAAAGGCCTGGAGTTCGGAGAGACCTGAGTTCGAATCCCATCTCTGCCGCTTACTATCAACCAACCAAGAAACATTTATTAAGTCCCTAGTATATGCCAGATACCATGATAAATTCTAAGGATATAAAGAAAGGTGAAAAAAAACAGTCCTTGCCCTCATGAAGCTCACATTCTAATAGAGGAGACAACATGTAAGCAGCTAGGTACACAAAGATATAGATAGATAGATGGATAGATAGATGATTGATAGAGATATTTAGATCTATCTATATCTTTATCTATCTGTATATATATATATATATTTATATGTGTGTATATATAAAGACAGAGACAGAGAGATAGAAAATGCATTAGCAGTAGGGTGGGATTGGGAAAGGCTTCCTGCAGAAGGTGAAATTCAAGCTGTGTAGCTATGAGAAAATCACTTAACCTCTCAGAGCCTGTTTCTTCATCAGCATCATAGGGATAATAATATCCACAGACCTAACTTCACTGGGCTGATTTGAAAATCAAATGAAATAATGTATGTAAATCTCAATCAAAATGATGCACTATTGGAAAGGCTTCTGTGTGGACTAGGAAAAGTTCTAGTCTTACCATTAGAAGATGTAGGTTCAAGACCAGCATTTACTCTCTGTGCAACTGTAGAAAAACCTCTTTAACTCCCTGAGGTTTCCCCAACTATAAAATGCAGATGCATGCAATCTGCCCCTCACAGTTCAGTGAAGAAAGCACTTTGTCAGTCTCTGAATGTTATGTCAATGGGAGTTATCATTACTACCACTACAACTGCTACTGTTATTATTATTATTATTATCTCTTCCAGCCTGAGTCCCCAGCAAAGCATGTTCCCTTGTCAGTTGAAGAAGAGGGAAATGTCAGCAGGTGCACAGGGAAAAGGGAGAGAAGGAGCCCCTCCTCATTCCCTCTCGGCATTTACCTACCTGCCAGACACTCTCCAACCAGCCACCACTGCTACTGAGGACTCACTAAATGAAAGATGCCTCATATGCTGTGAACTTTGGCCTGGTATTTTCCACCTCCTCTCAGAAATGCCAAGTCCTTAAAATGCTTTACTGTTGGGCTGTCACACATCTAGACAAGGAGACAAAGCTCCCTGAATGTGGTTGGCTAGGAAAAGCCACAGACTGGAAACTAGGCATTGCAGCTCTGCTATTGAGATGCTGTGTGACCTTGTTCAAATTTCTTAACCTGCCTGGGCCTTGGTTCACCTAACAGTAAAATGGAGATCATGAGATAGGTAGTCCTCCTGACAATCCTCCCAAGGTTGTTGTAATAATTAAATGAGGCCGTATTTTTCAAGGTGCTTTGAGATATAAACACCTAAAAAATTCATGGTAAATTAATTCTATGTGTTACCTCTCTACTGATGCATACTGAGAGACAGGGTGATATATAGATTTAGAATGTTGGATTTGAACCCAGGAAGAACCTGGGTTCAAATCTGGCCTCAGACATTTACTAGCTGTGTGACCCTGGACAAGTCACTTAACCTTTTACATCTTCAGTTACCTCATGTTGACAATTACATCACCTTAATCTGCCTCCAAGATTACATTCGAATGTTGTTGTTCAGTTGTTTTTCAGTCATGTCTGACTCTTTATGACCCCATTTGGGATTTTCTGGGCAAAGATACTAGAGTGGTTTGCTATTTCCTTCTACTCATTTTACAAATGAGGAACTGAGTCAAACAGGGTTAAGTGACTTTTCCAGGGTCACACTGCTAGTAAGTGTCTGAAGCAGGCTTTGAACTCATGAGGATGAGTCTTCCTGATTCCAAGTCCAGTGCTCTATCTACTGCACCAGCTATCTGCCTTTACATCCTAATAAGGGAAGGCAATAGATAAAGGGCAGCTAGAAATCAGAGAAGGAAGAGAGGGTATTAGCCATGGATAGAATGCTGGACCTCAAGTCAGAAAGACCCGTGTTCAAATCCAACTTCATTCTAGCCATGTGATACTGGACGTATCCTCTGTAAAATGTGGACAATAATAGTGCCTACTTCTCAGGGTTGTTGTGAGGATCAAGTTAGATAATATTTGTAAAGTGCCTGGAACATTGTAGGTGATTAATAAATGTATGTTTCCTTCCTTCCATATGGTTTGGAAGTGGCCTGGTTCTGATCAAGACAGGACAAAAGCTCACCTATCAGAGCCCAAGAGGAAAATGGTAATCAATTAACTACTCAATCAAAAAACATTTATTAAGAACCCACTCTAAGCCAGGCATGGTGCTAGGTGTCAAAGGTACAAAGAATGAAGCAGTTCCTCTCCTCAAGGAGCCTACTTAGGTGACTTGAAAGTTTCAAGTATGGATTGTTGGGAGATATAGTAGTATGACTGATAAGGAAAAATCATAGCTGGGTAGATGATGAAATTGACTTTGTGTATGAGTTTCAGGTTAGAGAAGGACATACAAGATGTATATGCACAGCAGGCAGTTGGAAAATGTTGGAACAGAGCATAGTAGGGAGGATGGAACTAGAAATACAGATCTGAGAGTCTTTCACATAGAGGAGAGGAGATTAGAGCCTTGGAAGTGGATAAATAAGATAAGGAAGTATCATCATAATAATAGCTAGCATTTATATAATACTTTAAGGTTTGCAAATCAATTTATATAAATTGTATAATTTTATACTCACAAGTCTGGGGGGTAGACTATATTATTATCTTCATTTTACAGATAAGAAAATTGAGTCAGATAGACATTGCTGTTGTCTGAGGCTGGAT